TCGAATAGCGCACTGGTTTACACGCCGGTGTGTGAAGCGATAGACCCGAGTTCGATCCTCGCTCGAAGCACCGGATTTTTGAAAGGGGCGAAAAAGGCCAAAAATGCCCAAAAAGCCCTTTGCATCCTCATCAAGGCTGTGCAAAAAGGCGGCTGGGCGCGGCTTTTTTGTGAAAGCCGTGAAAAGCCGCGGCTAGCCGAGGCCGGCCGCGGATAGCCTCATGAAAACGCGTGAAGTGTAAATCAATTAGTTTTTGAATAATTTCGTTTTTTTGTCCTACTTTTCAAAAAAAAAATCTACGTTTCTCATGAAACAATTATTTCAAAAGGCCGTGAAACGCCGCACGGCTAGCCTGGGCCGGCCGCGGCTTCTTCGAATATTTTTTCTGAAGCCGCGGCTGGCCGCGGCCGGCCGTGACACAGCCTTGATCCTCATGTAGAAATACGAGCGCGCCACCTGAGAAATGATAAAAACATAGAAAGTGCCAAATATTGACGTCTTGAGGTTGTGGAACGATGGTAGAACAAGCCCAGAAGCCGGAAATCTCTAGTTGACACTTTGTATAACCATACCATACACGGAAATGTACTTTGTTGAGGTGTTATTTGCTCAAAAGTCGGCCAAAGTCTTTTTGATTATGTTCAAAATGCTATGTTTCACATTAATGATCGTTTTCTATTTTTTCCAGATTTTTGAAAAAAATTTCCAAAATTCCAAAATTTTTCAAAAACTGAATTTTTCGTTAAAATTTTTTCTTCTTTTTTTCAAGACGGAAATATATTTGCATCATTTTTCTCGGGTAATTTGCTACATTCCACAGAAAAGTTTCATGCTTTAGCTCTATTTTGAAGAAAGTTATGCTCGAAAACCACAAAGTGGACAACCTTTTGCACGGTACTGTATATATTTCGGCGTGTTGATTCAACTTTCTAGAGGAAATTGGCTGTCGCGAGGAAGTTGAGCATCCTTCACAGATTTCCTAGCTCCGTTCGACCGACTATCAGAGAAAGTTCGGTAACTTTCTACTAATTTATCTCACACTGGCACTAAAAATCATCCAGGAAGTTGAAACAAAACGCCAAAATTGAAATTAACTTATTTGATGTAAAAATGAGGCTCCGGAACATTTTGCCACCAAGATAATGAAGACAAATGGATTGGTTTCAGACTAAAAAAAAATAATTTTTGGGTTATCAAATATTATTTTCTGATAATATGTTCGGAAATTCGGAACATTTGAGAAAAAACCGTGAAAAACATAAAATCTGGAATTTTTCGAATTTCAGAATGTGTTTTATCAGAAAAAGAATATTTGAAAATCGCGACATTGTTTTTTAGTTTGAAACCTATCCATCCGCATGTATCACAGTGTCATGCAATAAAAAACTACTCATTCGACATTATAAAACAGTAAATTCAACAGAAACACGAATTTCTTCATGTCGAATTTGAATTCGAGCGCTGATCCCAACAGAATTTCGAATCCTGAACTTCTTTAGTTCTGCTTCTGCTTCTGCCTTTTCTTCTGTTTGTAATCCTTTCAACAAAATGTTCCAATCTGAGTTGTTTTCCCTTTTCACAATAATAAAGAATATCTTTAATTTTAGATTGGAATTATACATTATACAACATAATATAATTATACAACGAAATTGTGCATATAAAACAATGTTAAGAGAAATTACAGAAGAAAAAGGTGGAAAACAAATTCTTAAGAATAATGTGAAGAGAATCAAACAGTCCATAATTCTTTGAAATTTGAAATAGCAAAATTAATAGGAAAATGTGTTCTCATATCACGGCTTCGAATTCGTGCAATAACCCCGGTAGAATTTTGTATAGTGAAATTCTTGACTTCTGCATCTTCTGAAAATCCTTCCGCTTTTAATCCTTTCAATAGTATATTCCAATCTGAGTTGTCTTCCCTTTTCACAAGAACAGAGAGTAGCTTCAGTTTCCGATTGGACCCCTTCATCCATAATTTGAAAAATCGATTAAAATCACTAAGTGAGATTTGATCTGTATTTATACGACAACGTTCCACATTCAATGTTAAGAGATCATCTAACTTCAAATTGAAATGACCACATAAGTACAACACCTTTAGGTTTTCCATTCCGATGTGTTGAACGGTTAGATTTTCATGGAGAGGAACAGAAACTAATTGGACAATTTCAACAACTGGTAGAAAATCTCTCAAAATGTTTTGAGTGTTCAAAATACATAGTTCGTTTCCTCTCTCTCCAAAGAAGTATGTTAATTGAATGGTTCCAAATTTTGGAAACGTATTCCGAAGTGATTGCATATCTATTGTGGCATCCCAACTTCAAATACGGCTCCATAATCCTCAAATTGAAAAATCGAGCAGAGATGTTGAATCCATTCTCTTAAACTTATTCCTTGATTTGAAATAGTGAAGGCTCTATTTCTGGGAAAAGTTAAAAATTCCTATACATCAAGATTGACAGGAATATCATCCAAGCTCGTCATAATTCCGTCAGTTTCTTGTGATTTAAATTGGAACCGGACTGATTTTAATTCATTTGTGATGAAAATGATCTCCACAAATACCTTCATGTTTATTTGTACATTTGAAATCGGTATACAAAGAGACTTAATCTTTGAATGTGATTTCTTCGACGCAAATGAGAAGGCAGCTCTGAAATTAAATTAACTCAATGCAATAGATCCAAACAAGATGAGAAAAAAAATCACTGCTCATGGAGGCTCATTTTTTTGTTTTCATAACCTTCAAACCAAGATCATCAGACTTAGACTTAGAAAGGGAAATCACACGTCTGTCATATCTGGAAACAATTAATTAACTGTTGATCTGACTTCAATCTGCAAAAATACGGGGCCCAAATGAAAAACGCGTATCTAAAGCATGAACGAAAAGACGATTGGGAATAGATCTCCATGACAAGGTGCAACCCGGGAAACAAATTTTGTGTTTGATAGATGTACAGATGAAAAGAGATCTTGCAACAGTAATCGGAAGTAATTTTTTTAGAAAATCCGGAAAACGGGAATGACTAGAAAATAGGCAATGAGAAGAAACAAGAGGATTGAGATAAGATCGTCTGTGTTAGTGCTCGAATTCAAATTCGTGATGGGGGAACATACGTTACTGTTGAATTCACTGCTTTAAATTATAAAAAAATATGGTTTTTAAATTTGATTTAACATGTTTATCCGGATTAACTTCGTCAGGAAAACTTCAACCGAGAGTTGTCTGTGTATCGGTGTCTGAAGATTCCAACTATGTCCCCAGTTTGCCAGGAGAACTTATTTTGCTAAGTAAGCGGTCACTAGTCCAGTCTTTCCCTTCTTTATATTTCCAGGTGTGCATTTCAATTCCAAAAACGTCTTTGGTTTCGCATGAGAACATCATGTAAAGACGACCCACCTGTTTCAAAATGTCCCGCCTCTTCACTATTAATGGTACTAATTGGACTATCACTTGTACATTGTTCATTATTTCTCTTGATCAGTTCTCATTCTATTTTCTTCTTTCTATTTCTTCTCATTCTGTTCTGTTCAATAAAATTCTCCCTAACTAAATTCTGTCAAAGTTTAAGGTTTGAAATCACTTACGTTAGAGATTCCACAGTATGTGCCCCTCTCTTCTTTAAGTTTTGAGATGAAGTTTCTAGATTTCATATCTCTTTTTTCATTTTCCTCCATTTTTTGGCCGTTTTCCGTCCGTTCGTTGTCAGTTTTTTTTTCATTAGATCATATTTTATTTCCCGACTCATTTTGAGGAGTTCGCTTTTTTCCTGATTCTTATTTGATGTTCTTCCTGGACTTCTTTCTTCTTGTCAAAAAACTCATCAGAATTTTTTACAGATTTCTTTACTATAACTATTTACAATTCGAATCGCCATCCAAACGACCCGGAATCAACACAAAGACCAAAGAAGCTACCGCTGGCACAATGATGTACTTTCTGCTCGTCGTTTCGTTTTCTCAATACTTCTGTCTTGCTGTGTATTTCAACTTGGCACCATTTCAATTCAATTTCGACCTCCGTTTCGCCATCCCATTTCAACTTTCACCTATTTATTGAGAGCACTCATGACTTTATGTGTTTTCAATCTGTAATTGTAAGTTACAATTTGTAACACACTCAAACATTTTGTTGATTTTCATTTCTCCAATAAACAAGTTCTAAAAGCATAAATCCGTTTTGTCGTTTGAATTTCGAATCTCCTCGAAAAAAGAGTTCGAAAACTATAAGCACCTTATTTCTATAATACAAGATAGCGCACAATTACCCGGACTGATAAAAACGGGTAGATCCTTACTATTAGACATAAGTATCTTGGAAGCACAAAAATTGGTGAAAATATAATTTTACGTTTGATTCAAAGCTTCTGGAATTTTCAAAGATGTTCCCCAAGGTTAGGTATTGTTATGATTATCCAAAGATGAACGGTCTAATGTTTCTTGTGATTTTCATGAGATGAAACAACGTGGACAAGAGATAACTCAGTTCAAAGTTGATAAAATAGTTTGAAACCTGGCCAGTTTATTGATGAATCCTTTGAATTTTTGCGCTCCAAATTTGAGCCCAGTACAACGCTCTACTCAAATTTTATGCTACTAAAAATTTGAGAAAAAGTATTTATGCGCCATCATGTAGTCTGTACGGTGTGCACTGTTTTGCGAAGAATTGAATTTCAGATCATAGACCAGAGCACAGAAGGATTCCTAAAAGCTCCCTTCATTCAATCACTTCTCCTTGTCTCATATTTTCCATTTTCGTGAGTACACCCATAAAACTCTTGACGTGTTATGGAAGTACATAAATGTGTGCTCGTAATTAAAACGGATACATGTGATATGAATCGGAAGAAACGACGTACGAGTGGGATGTGTGGGTACGTTGTTAAATCGGTGTAAGATCATCATAATATCAGAAATCGCAAAAGATAGACACAAAATATGTAGGTAAAAGTCATAAGTGATTAGTGATCAAAGGAAGTGACGCAAGTTTTGCTTGACCAAACAGCTCAAAAGAAGGTCGGATCGAGTCAAAATATTTGATCATTTTGGTTGATCAAATGAGGTCAGGAGACACGGAAATTGTGTTTTGGTGATGATTTGGATTGTGATGCTCCAATTTTCAGGCCGATTCGACGTAAAAGTGGATGATCGGAAACTGACTATGAGCTTTAAAACTAGTGGGAAAATTTTTAAATTCGAAAAGATTCAGGAAGGTTCTAGAGCATTTTAGGATTTCCATTTCCTAAATGTTAAAAAATATTGTAGATTCTTACACTGTATTTATATAACACAAATCAGCAAATACAAGATCACTGATTATCTGATAATTTTAGATCAGTAGAGAAATTGTTGGATCCCTGATTCATAACGGAACATCACTATTTTGAACCAATTCAAAACATGAACATTTCAAATATTAAACGAGGGTTCCGCAAATTTTCTCATTTTCGGAGCTCATTGAATAATATTTGACGACAGTAATGTTTGCTTTTTTTTCAAGAATCCTATGAATCAAAAGTTTACAAAACATACAGAGTTTTCTAGAATTTTCAGTTTTGTATGTTTGAAAAATTTAATTATTACTTGATTACTCTGAAAATGCCCAGTCATGCCAGAGCTTGATTTTTGTAGCTGATCAATTTCGTAGAAATCAATCAAAATTAGTTTTCTCGCTTACAAAAATGTACCTGAAAATATCACGATAAATAAAATAGTTTTTGTGGCTTGAAAAAATATTTTCAGAATTACAAAACTATCGTATTCCCTTTAATAGAATCCTAACCAAACCGTTAACTTTGAGCACAATCTCGATTATTGTAAAAGATATCAAAATTTTGTTAACTGATAAAATATTGGTAATATTATGAATAAAAATTATCAGTTAACAAATGTTTGATATCTCTCACAGGAATCGAGAAATTAAGCTCAAAATTGACGGTTTCTGTGGGCTTCTGTTAGAGGGAATACGATAGTTCCCTTTGATTTACCAAATGACCCGTCTTTGGAACGTTTTTCGAATTATCTGAAAACATACAATATAATTTTCAGGTCTTCCCATTTTTTATGACCTAGTTCCTGATCCATGACTGATGCATGTACCCGAACACTGATCACTCATTATTTTTCTAATTAATTTCTCTTTACGATCACCCTCTCAATACACAACCGATTACACCAAAACTCATAAGTCAGAAGCCATTTTTGTATTTTTTCTCTTTGTTTTTTCTGATTCATGCTCTATATCAAATGTCAAAGATTCTTTCTCAAAAAACAGCAACCATCCTTTTTTTTCCAAAAAGATGTACATAAATGAAAAACGTAGTTTTGTGGGGAAAGGAAGTTCGTCTGATATAAGTAGTAGTCTTTTGATTAAAAAAACGGAAACCAACACATCAGGGATGTTTTCAAAATATCCATTTTATTTATCTTACTAATTTCGTATAGAGATTGAATTTTCTAGAACCCTAATCTTCGAAAATTTGCAAATTCTAAAGAAGACTTTTTCATGGTGAAGCACTTGAAAACAGAAAAATCATGAAGTTAAATGAGTACAAAAATGAAATCATAGAAAATATTTTTAAAATAAATTTCAGCAACAGGAAATGTCAAGTGGGCGTTCTCTGCTTCGTAGGTGTCTCTGGAAATCTGTGGAATTTGAATTTCCGATGTTGAAAATTTAGAAAAACATCACTTGCTTGACTTCCCGATGATGTTTCCGACTTGATCTGGAGGATTCTAGAAAGAAATGCAGCTGATCTTAAAATGAAAATCATGGATTTTTTTTTTACATTACCGTAAAACCTGTAACAGAAGGGCCCCACACACTGTCAAGTTTGAGCTCGATTATCTCAATTACTTTAAGAGATATAAAAAAATGTGCCAACTGATAAAATGTTTGTGATATTATGATAAACATTTGTCACTTGACAGACTTTTTACTTATTTGACAGACAGGAGCCGAGAAAATTCGATTCAAAGTTTAAAGTTAGGTTCTAAAACAGGCTTTACATTAATTTGATTTTCTTGCATTTTTAGGTTTTCAGGTTCTGCAATTCGAGATTCCAATGTTTAGGGGTTGTGGGGATATTTCCAACGATAGGTTTCATGCTTCTGAGGCTTTGAAAAATTGCAGCCTTCCATTTTCAAAAGAATCAATATCCTTATTTTCAGGTCTTGTAATTTTCTAGAAGACAAGTCCCAACAATACCTAGCTGTAAATTGGTGTCATTTTTTAATCAAGTTCTATAAATGACGTTGATTTTATGACTTATTGGCAACTGAAAAAGTAATCAAGCCACCCACAAAACAATAAGAAAATGATAATTTGATTGGATATTTCTTATCCGAGAGATCTGTGTTGTGAATTCCCCATTTTTAAAGTCTCTGATTTGTACTGGAATTTTATGGGCACAGATCAGAAAAACATAAAATGTATGAGATTTCAGATCGGATCCAGATTGTCCGGTCTTGATTTTCTAATCAGATTCTCAAAACAAATCGTTACAGTACTATCTACCTTCCTTGATACCCCTGGGTCTGATTCATTTTCTCACATAGCTCCCGAGAACGAGTGTGAGAACTGTTCTTGATTTTTTAGACATCCCAATAATTGTTTTTCCAATTGTTCGGGAACATATTTTGTTCTTTTCCCATCGGTTGTTATTTCAATAATCATTATGTAGAAAATCAAATCATCTAGAATTATGAAATGTTACAGCTTTTGAAGTCGTACCAGGTTGTCTAACATTTTGAAATGGAAAGGCTGAAAACTTTGAAATTGTGAAAGATCTATTTAGAAAGATTAGACAAAACTTTGATCAAAGAATGTGGGAAATGGTATAAAAGAGGGTATTTTAGAATTTCAAAACCTAAGAATAATGTTTCTAGGTTTTGATTAAACATAGTTCAATAGTCTCCAAGTTTGGGCTAGCTTCTATCTTCCTTATAAATAAAACGCTAGAGGCGTCTGTCCGTCCCGGTGTCTGTAAACTTTTGAAAAGCTTGAAAAATTAATACAAATTTACGTGACCCTTTAAAAATAATTGAGGAGCTGAGCCACGAATCAGTAAAAAAAACTAGATTGATTAGCGCCGAAGGCGCACCAGCTTGCTGGTTAGAGATAAAACGGCGTATACTTTCAGTTTCTTTTATCGAGATGTGAAACCTCCAGATTTGAATACCCCAAATAATACGGTAGTTTTGAATACTTTCCATATGCAAAACCTTATAAATCAACGGAAGAACTATACTATTTTGAAATATTGTTCCACTTGACGATATTATTTTTTTCTGTCTCAAGTACCAAGTTCTGGTTATAAAAGCCCACATGAAAGCCAAACTTTATTTTAGTCATATGTTCTTTAGAATAGCCTCGACTCCAAGTTTTTCAATTTCTTTCAGTAATTTCCTCTTCTCTCCCTTTAACATCAAAGATCAAAGGAAACTATTAAGCAACCTTTAAAAGTCATTTCCACTTAATTATCTGGAGAAAAACTTAAAAATTGACACCTGCAAAATATTATTCAATGTCATTTTTCTTCTTTTATTATTTTTGATGTTTCAAACTAGACTTTACTCTTCTTTTTTCGATTCCATATTAGTCTCGAATCTTTAGTCTAGGATTCCAGACGTCATAATAATTTCATAAGAACAATATACTTTTCAGCTTCTTCCTTTGTGTCTCTAAAAAAAAACCAGCCGTTCGTTCTTTTTTCTGAAATGTGTCATTTTCCATTATGTTTTCGTCAATAATTCCATTCCCTTTCCCAGGAATTCAATCAGATTTTTGTAATTTTTCTGTGATTGAGTTCCCACCATTAGTCAGTCACGTGGCAGCCAGAATAAATAGAGCCTTTTTTAGGTCTCCACCCCCTTCCGTTCCGATTATCGGGCACCTGACTCTGCGATTTTTAGCGTCACTTTTCAACATAATTCGGCTTGATCAAACCAACCCAAATTGACCTCAATATTTTTGTGCGGCTCTGTGACCCTCAGATTCTAAGATTTTGAAATCCTGATGGGTTACTGTAGTTACAAACGATTTTTTTTGACAAAGCGGATTTCGAAAACTCAAAATTATGAAAACTTATTCCACTCGAGACCCACGAGGGAACTTTTCGCCGAATTCCGAATTCCGTTCCAAACACCCTTGATAACATTTTGGTTTCATTTTTTTTTATTCCGGTTATAGAGTTTGCAGATTTTCTCTGGAATAAGATCTAATACGATTTGGATATTTTCGGCGGTTTTTGGCAGCTATGTGTTCAAAGATTCTCATGGGTTACTGTAGCTTTTTTTATCGCCTTTATTATTCTGAAAATTTTGGTCTTCTGGAAGTGTTAGCAAAAGTTTGTATGTCAATACTAATACTAATTCGTATCGAGACTTCTAGATTGTACTTGTATAGTCATGTCTGCGATTTTGTAAAGTTAGGTGCGTCTGATACAAAATTTTCGTATACTTTTAAAAAAAAATAATTTCAGAGAGCCTTGAATCTCTTCCAGAAATTCTTTTACGATTTTTACTGAATTCCGAGCCTATGCTCCACCCCCATCCGACGGAAGCCCTACTCATGCTCCGCCCACTTTTGCTGAACCTCCTTCGATTTCCTTCACTAATAACTTCCTCACCTAGCTTCTTCTTATTGTTTTAGTTCAATTTTTGTAGTTTGCTTCTTACCTACATATCCATGAAACAACGTAGGAGTTGCACACGCAAGGAAAAGTTTCCTTTTTTTTCAAAAGTATGAATTTCTAAATGTGTCAAAAAAAGAAGAATATTCCTTCCGTATGCAAAGAGAAAAGAAATGTTGACTTTTCGGTAGAGGATCACTTTTCATATATGCATTTTTTTATGATGAAAAGTTATTTATTGTTTTTGGAGGGATACATTTTGAACGGAGGATCAGTATAGTTTCTCAGAGATCTTTGTTTTCTGGGATCTTAAGATATCAAGACATTTTTTAGCTTGACTGGTAGTTAGAAATTGTTGAGGATTACTGTAATTCTACATATAGTTACCATAAACACTCTGATAAAAGGCCAGTCAAACCGTCTACTTTGAGCCTATATATCTCAGTTCCTGTGAAAGGTACCAAATAACGGTCAACTAACAAAATGTTTTTGATATTATGGCAAGCATGTTGTTAGTTTTTTTTTACTTTTGATATGTTTTACAAGAACCGAGATATATGAGCTCAAAGTGAACGGTTTGGGTGACATTCTATTAGGGTGTTTACTTATTGATTGTGAACGAGAAACCATCCTGAAAATTTGATAGAATGATGAAGCAGTTATTTTTGAATTTCTGCTTCTGAATTTATAGATTCCGGGAAGAGGACTTGCAGATTGTATCAAAACTATAATATTCTAGAAAGATTTGTCTATTTTTTGCTGCTTTTTTTTCACAATATTTGGTATTTTTGCTGATTTTTTTTACAACATGGTGTTCAATTTGTTAATCAGTAAATGTTTTGAACCGTTTAATTCCATTTCAACACTCTCATAGAATTACCCCTAACTTCCAACTTTGAGGCAACTTATCTCGGTCCCTGTCAAAGATATCAAAAAGTGTTCAACAGACAAAATGTTTGTAATGTTATGATAAATATTTCATCAATTGACTACTTTTTGATATCTTTCACAGGAAACAAGATATATGGACTCAAAGTTGACAGTTCGGAGAGCATTCTAACAGAGTGTTTGAGGTAATTATTTTGAAAACTACGCTTGCTACTAGAAATTTCTAGAAAATTGTAATAATTATTTTCATGTCTTCAATTCAATAAACCAGTCTAGCACTTTTTCCCATTATTCTCTTAATTCAACTATCCCCTTATATCCCCCTATATCCATCCTCTTCTTCCACTTTTTATTTCCCCATTACTTCTATTTCCATTCATTCCTTTATGGCTTCCTTAATAAACAAGATCTCTGAATTTCGAATTCCAGGAAAGGAAAGGTTTTCAAGTTTTCAGTACAAAATCAAATATGCACATCAGAAGGTTTTTTCCCTTATTATTACGTTCTTCTGAATTACTCTGCAGATTGAATTTGTGATGATGGGGAGCGGAAAAAATAAAAGTGCTGAAAAAACAGGATCATTGAGCAGAAAAAGGAAATAGTTTCACCTGGAAAGTGTGACTTTAATAATTCAATGAACTATGAAATTCCAAGAACCTACTATCTTTCCATAATCATCGCAGATCCATCTCATCTGAATAAAAATGAATGAGTTCATCTGAGTTCATTTTGAACTCTCTCTCCTGCAAATTCCATTAAATATTCCCGGACATGTTTCTTCTGATTCTTTTTGGATTCTAAACTACGTCAGAACCTGAAAAATTTGAACTGATGACGAGTGCCTTCTAACCTAGTTTTCAACGTGTTCAAAATAAGTTACTTCCCTATTAGTGGAGCAGGATATAAAAGCCGAAAGAGTTTGTAACACATTTTCATTCCGAAAGGAAAAAGAAATTGAGTTTGGTGTCTAGACACACGTTTTTCTTTAATTTCAGTAGTCGCTTTTAAACGGAAAAAAAATAGTTAAGGGAAGGAGTACGGAGGCTGAGGTACAGAACTTGTTTCGAACCCACTGATCGCTTGAACTGTTAACATTTTTCTTTAAGCAAAAAATTAATTTTTAGCATTTAGGATTTCCGATTGACAGTATATGACAGCTACTTGAATCTGTTTTCTATCATAGAATATAGAACTTTTTGGATCTAGTCGGTTATTTCGTATCTTACAATTACATTTATTTTTTTTTGGTCCTTGGATTTTAGAATTTTAAAGATTTTTCGAATTTTTAGATATCGCGAATTAATGATTTTTGGATTTTTGAATTTCTTGGTGGTTTCGAAATTATGAGTGTTTTAGAACTTTAGAATTTTAAGGATTTTCAAGATTTTTCGAAATTTTAATAGTTTTTGGAGTTTTCCGCATTTTTGATTTATTGAATTTTTTATTTTCCGAAAACTTTGGATTTTTGGATTTGTAGAATTTTTGGGTTTTTCAAAAATTAGAATTAGATTTTTTAGACTTTTTGGAATTTTCACATTTTTAAATTGTTAAATTTTTTCGAATTTTCGGATTTTCATGAAATTTTTGGAATTTCGGAATTTTCTGGATTTTTGAGTTTTCTGGATTTTCGAATTTTTCAGTTTTTGGAAATTCTAAGAATACCACGAATTGCAAAAAAAATTCAAAAATCCGAAATTTTTCGAAATTATTGGATTTTTTGAAAGTCCTAATATCCCTTCACTTTTCAATAAAATTTATGAAAAAATCGCAAAAATAGAGCAAAAAGTAATTACAAAAAATACATACTCCTTCAAGTATTCCGCTACCGGACCTAAGCTCCGCCCACTCTAGACTTTCCCTAAATTGAAATTGGACCACAGAATAGAACCTTGGTATTTTCAGATCTACGGAATTCTCCTATTCATACATCCCCAAAAAATAGCATGATCCTATTTTTGAATTTCTGGAAACATAGAACCGAATCTGAACCGAGTACAATCTGAAGGTCGAGCATCTTCGACCTATGAGATCTTCTGAATCTTTGAATCTAACAATGTCCATTCATTCATCACTATATTATTTTGTTAATCGATGTTACCTTCTTCCCAAGATGTTTGATTTTCTCTTTTCTACTACTTACGAACCCATATTTACAACTTATAACGAGCATGGGTCCTTAACGGTTCGGTTAATTCTAGGGAGTGACGTGAAAACGACTAGGAGGCGTAGACATCCGGAAATGAACATAATAATAAGAAAAATCGAGTTTTCATGTTTTCAATATCTTTTTTTGATTCTAAAATGTTACAGTAGACAGAATATTTGCTAAATACCTATATGAAAACTAATCTTTCTCTGTTGTTTTTTATTTTCTTATTTAATGATTTTCCCCTAAAATTATTCATCGCCTGGATGAATACGAATCCCCCTGTTTATTTGTTTTACTTCTTCTCTCTGTTTGTCTCGAAAAATGGAAGATTTGTTATTTTCAGAACTCTTGGAAAATCTGCCAATATGTTGTCCCGACTGTTCCTTCTTCTCTCCTTCGTCATTTTGGTGAGTTTTGCCACCATTTAATCAAAAAAGGGATAACTTCAAAAATACTTCATACACTTTTTAATGTTTCAGTGCCACTCGATCGTCTCTGAAATCTCGCACAGATTCCTTCATAGGGATCCAGAGTACGAGGGGCGTGTCTACTACGGTAACTCACAAAAATAACTTTTTAGCATTTAAAAAACATATTTCAGAACCCCTGTACACTTCAAAAGACTTCCGTCTTGGTGGATCCGCTCAACTCTCTCCACTCTATGAAATGACCAACTCGCACCTTCTGAATTTGGCCGATTTGCTCCGAAAACGAACTGAAACTCAAACTCCGTACTAATGAACAAACTTTTTTTGTGAAATCAAGGATCAAATAGATATAATAACTTTCTTTTTTTTCTCGGACGACGCCTTCTCTCACATTGGTCTAATAAACGTTCCTTCTGTTTTTGGGCATTTTCTATTCATCACACTTTGGATTTTCCTTACTTTTTCAAGAATCCTGCCACCGGGCTCATGGAAATTTTCTCGAAAAAATTGAAGTTTTGCAAAAACAGAGTTATGGAAGAGAAAAGACGGTGGCAGTGGCCGGAGGTCCCCCAACGACAGCTACCGTAACCTAAAAATGTTTCGATTCTCCGGATTCGTTTCCATTTATTATTATGTTTTCGTTGAAGAACGGAGAAAGAGGCGCGCGAGAGTTAAAGAGTCAAACTTTCGGCGGCCTGTGGTCCAGACGCACTTAGACAAGTTCAAAGCGGTTTCACTGGAATGTAAGGCCTCATCGACTGCTCTCGCTTAAAAACAGAGAACAAGAGGAGAAAGGATTGGATAATTGAGAAGAAACTTCCATTGAATGAGTCTTCCTTTTTGTTGTATTTGGTCGATCGAGCGAAAGGAATTGGAAGCAGCACCCTGTCGAAGATATCGGCTGCATATTAAGCTGCAAACCAAGGAATTTCGGCCATCGGAGCAACTTTCGTTTCGGAAGTAATCAAGTCAAAGAGGAGGGAAGAGGTTCAGTGCAAGAAGACTGTAGTTGAGGTGACTATTCAGGACGTCGAGAGGACCACCAAACTAGCGATGGACGAGATGTATAATGAACTTGTAATATCAAAACCCTCTTTCGAAGTGATGAAACAGAAAAACATATTCTCTTGGAGCGTAGACGAAAGAGAATACTATTTTTCACTTATTTTCTACGAATTTTTGTTTTTTCCTCAAACAAGTCGGAAAATTGCAATTTTTGATGAAAACATTTTTTGAAAACGCACAAAAATCGAGATAATAAATCCGGGAATCAAGCATATTTTAAGTTACTTTAGTTGTCGCGATGGGACCTCCGGGCTCCATTTCTCTTCAAAATTCACAAATAATACTTGTAGAAAAAAATTAGTGGCTGTGGCCGAAGGTCCCGAAATTCTTAAAGGGGGACTCCGACCAAAAATTTTTATTGCATTAAAATGTGTTAAAAGTTATCTATTTTCCGAATATTATTGCGAAAAAATTCAAAAAAAATCCGAAATTCCCGAAAAACGGCGTTGAAAAGGAAGAAAATTCAAAAAAATGTGCTGCCGGGGGACGAGGATTTTCAGTGAGAAACCTAGGCCACGGCAGCGGGCGCCTTTCCTACGTGGCAAAATTTCTGGATTTTTTTTCGATTTCATGTACGGCAGATAAAAAACGTAAAAAACCACTGTCGGCGACTTGAAAAAAAAGGCTGTCAGGTGCCGTGGCCTAGGTTTCTCACTGAAAATTCTCGTCCCCCGGCGGCACTTTTTTTTTTAATTTTCTTCCTTTTCAACGCCGTTTTTCGGGGATTTCGGATTTTTTTTGAATTTTTTCGTAATAATATTTGAAAAACAGATAAATTTTAACACATTTTAATGCAAAAAAATTTTTGGTCGGAGTCCCCCTTTAAGAATGGAAAAAACTACAGTAACCTTAAAATGTATATTTTCCGGATATTCTTCTGGGCGCTTACTTATTTTTGACTATTCTCTAGCAAGTTTCACCAATGCATTCAATCAGAAAAAAAAGCAATTTCAATTCCAATTTTCTGAGGAAATATTGCCGAAAACCGGACGAAAATAAAAAAATAAATTGACAGTACTCCTAGTTCAAACAAGAACTAAAGTATTGAGAAAGTGGGCGTTGATATGCTCACAAGATAATATGTTTTGCTTGTTCTGTAAAGATTAAACTACTTTCAGTGGAAAGTTTTAGACACCGAGATTTCAGAAGGTGAAAACTCATTTTTAAATCACCCCGCAAAATCGCTAATATATGTCGTAAAATTGCGCACATAGTGTACACCAACCGACGCCAGACTGCGGACTACGAAACTTTTGTATTTTCCCAATATTTAAAATGTGTATTTTCTAACCTAATATCCGTTTGCAGTTAGTGTCTTTTGATATAATGTACAATAAAAAATAAAAAATGCTATTATATCTTCCAGAATGTCGGATTCTTCGTCGTCCGATGGAGAGGACAACCAGAAATTCCTCACAAACCGAAAAAAGACATTGACGAGAAGTGAGTTTTAAATTAGTGATACAATTTCCAAAATATTGAATTCTTTGTAGAAAAAGCTGTTGCTGAAGCTGTTGAAAATGAAGTGGAAGAAATTGAAGAAGAGAAAACGTTCGCAGAGCTCGGAGTCTCACAACCACTGTGCGATGCATGCCTACGGCTCGGTTGGACCAAACCATCGAAAATTCAACAAGCAGCTCTGCCTCATGCACTTGAAGGAAAAGATGTAATCGGTTTGGCAGAAACCGGATCTGGAAAGACTGGAGCATTTGCAATTCCCGTTCTACAATCACTTCTTGATCATCCTCAAGCATTTTTCTGTCTCGTTCTCACGCCAACAAGAGAACTTGCATTCCAAATTGGCCAACAGTTTGAAGCTCTAGGATCAGGAATCGGACTCATTGTTGCAGTCATTGTCGGAGGAGTTGATATGGCTGCACAAGCTATGGCTCTTGCCAGAAGACCTCACATCATTGTTGCCACTCCAGGACGTCTGGTTGATCATTTAGAGAATACAAAAGGATTCAACTTGAAGGCTCTCAAGTTCTTGATCATGGATGAAGCCGATCGTATTCTCAACATGGATTTCGAAGTTGAGCTTGACAAAATCCTCAAAGTCATTCCAAAGGAACGCAGAACGTATCTTTTCTCCGCTACAATGACAAAGAAAGTTTCAAAATTGGAACGCGCATCTCTTCGAGACCCAGCTCGTGTCTCCATTTCGACTCGTTACAAGACTGTTGATAATCTCAAACAACACTACATTTTCATTCCGAACAAGTACAAGGAGACCTATCTCGTGTATCTTCTCAACGAACACGCCGGAAACAGTGCTATCGTGTTTTGTGCCACATGTGCAACAACAATGCAAGTTGCCGTCATGCTTCGTCAACTCGGAATGCAAGCCGTCCCACTTCACGGACAGATGAGTCAGGTGAGTTCGAGAGACCAATCTGGCCTCCTCCACCCTCATATTTATTTATACCCTATCCTTGTTATTTTTAGGAAAAACGTCTCGGATCACTGAACAAATTCAAGAGCAAAGCCCGCGAAATCCTTGTGTGCACTGATGTGGCAGCTCGTGGTTTGGATATTCCTCATGTCGACATGGTCATCAATTATGATATGCCATCACAGTCGAAGGACTATGTTCATCGAGTTGGAAGAACTGCTCGTGCCGGAAGAAGTGGTCTTGCCATCACTGTTGTCACCCAGTATGACGTGGAAGCCTATCAGAAAATCGAGGCGAATTTAGGAAAGAAATTAGACGAGTACAAATGCGTTGAGAATGAAGTTATGGTGTTGGTGGAGAGAACACAGGAAGCGATGGAAAATGCGAAAGTTGAGATGAAAGAAATGGACGAGAAGCGGAAATCAGGAAAGAAGCGAAGACAAAACGACGATTTCGGAGATACCGAGGAAAATAGTGGTCGATTCAAAATGAGCATTAAGAGTATGGGCGGAGGCAAAGGAGGCGGTGGTGGAAAAAAGAAAAAGATGAAGAAGTAGATCTCAAACTGTTTTTGGTGTTATTGTTGATTTTGTTTTTTGATTCGTTTCGTTATCGTTGTTACGTTCTGATCCAGTTTATTTTGAAAATAAAAAATATAATTGAGATGAGACAAATAAATTAAAATACGAAAGAAAGGGGTAAAATGAGACTCAAAGAACCCGAAAGGTGTCAATTTTACAAATGTTCAAAAAAAGCAGGACAACTACTGTGGAGGGTACTGCATGTGATGATGGTATTGTTGGCCACCAGGACCCCATGGAGGGTATCCGACGGATCCTGGATTAACACTTCCTGGACCACCGACACTGCCCGGACCGACGCTTCCTGGATTCATCATGTGCTGCTGATGACTGCCCGGATTCATCATGCTTCCTGGACCAACACTTCCCGGCATTCCGACACTTCCTGGCGGTGGACCAACGCTGGACGGATTCATTTGCATTGACGCTGAAATTCTTGATTTGAAGGAGTTTTCAAAAATGAAACATACGAGGACCACCCATCTGCCGGTGCATTCCATACTGATGCGCATTCACTGATTGTGGTCCCATCATTGATCCGGGCTGCATAACAGATGGAGGAGGTTGTTGTTGGTGTTGTTGTTGCTGTGGAGCACCTGATCCAGGAGGTGCAATTGATCCAGGGGCGACGGATGGTGGATTCACGTATTGTTGAGGTGCAGGAGGCGCCACAGTTGAGATGATCGGTTCATCTTGATTCGATGGATTCCATTCACCAGAACGGAAACGATCGGATACAAGGCTGACTAGTGCCCAGATCGCGCATTTTCCAGTTGTTTTCACTTCGGTATTCACATCATCAATTAGTTGTTTATTGAGTTCTGATGGGACCGTTACGAAATTGCTGAAAATGGGAAGATAAAGCGATGAGTGTATGATGCTGGGAATCAAAAATCGGAGCTGTGGAAGAGAAAACCTGTTGGCCGCGACCACGGTCGAGCTACCGTAATCAGCAAATACTTCATACGTTCATTTTTTTTTCTCGATTTTCGTCCGTTTCCTTTCTTTTCCACACCTCCGATTTTTTCAAACAAGAATAACAGATAACCCACTCTTTGATCCTGTAGATAAACCGGAGGACACTGAATGAGTCTGCTTTTCGGCTCTGGCTGATGATCACCTAAATGTGGGAATATATTGATGTTGTCGTTCTCTTGTTATCAATTCTTACATTGATAATCATATTGTTCAACTGCTGATCCACCTTCGTCGCTGGGGCCAACTTCTTGCTCGTCGTGTTGTTGTAGGTCAGCGAGAGTTGCAAGCAACATTTGGATTCCAGCGAGATATCCTGAATAATTCCGTAAATCTTTTTCTTGTGTTATATACATTGCTACAATTAACTCTAGGCAATTATGGAGGTTCGCTTAAAATAGTCTCTAGTTCATCCAGTATGTTCTAGTTTAGAAGTTATAGAAGACGTCTCTTTTTTCCTGAAGTTTGCAAGACACGTATTCCTTTTCTTCTTTTTTTGACGTCGTCTTCTATACCAAAGAATTACAAATCGACGACGGCACTATTGTGCTCTCTCTCCCTGAACAAGATGATCACCGTTGTTCACTATACTTCAAATTCTGATTCTCCTACGTCATTCATTCATTCTCCCTTTTTTCAGATTTTCTGTTCTCTGACTATGAGAATATGTGCAGAATCATCTAGACCAAAAAAAAAAAAAACGAAAAAATATCACATCATCAGCGCACATTAAATCTGAAGATCGGATCATATTCTTATCCTGAAATTTTCGAAATTTCAAAATCATAAGGCTCCTTCGAATTCCGAGGAAAAAACTTCCGAAAAAGTGGGCGGAGCCTGAGTTTCTTTGCACGCTCATAAGGAAAACCGTGCGGCAAAACCGTGCCGAGCTTACAATTTACGCTCCGCCCGCTGACTTCGCCCACTTTCCCGGGAATTTTTTTCTCGGAATTCATGGAGCATCGAGAATTCAGTTGTTGTTCGAGAATATTCTCTGTCAATTTTTTTTCATTTTTCTAATAATATGAATTTCAAGACATCAAATTTTAATGCTCTAAATATTTTTCGTATTCTTTTTGAAAATATTTTTAAAACCTCCTCCTCCCAATATGATATATTCTTAGGTCTCCCTCCGTCTTATGATCAACCACTTTTTTTTCGAAAAAATTCACGTCATCTTGGTGGTCTTGAAGTTCAGAAGACGCGCGAGGAGAGGTCCTCCCGATTTAGCCACTCCTCCATCATTTTTAAAGGAGTCGGAGCTGCTGCTGCTGCCACCCATATGACCCCAATATTTATTATTATGCATTCACACTCCTCCTCCGTGAATAAAGGTTTTGCACGGATTCTTCTTTTTTGATGAATAGAATCCTTGCAATAGTTGGGGAGGGCTTAATTGCATCCCACCACAACTTTTCGTCGTTTCCCATGACGTGATTCTTCCCGCCCCAGCTTTCTAGCTACAACCTTATTTCATGGTATATCTTGTTTTTGGTCTAGACAGAGAATAATGCTCATTCTCTCCGATATTTCTCTGTGCTCAATTTGAAAATCTCAATTGTTATTCACACTTCCTCAATTTGTGGAGGACCCTTGTTCCTCAATTTGGAGGACCATTGGCTTGCTGAACGACTCCATAAAATTTGTGGAGATGGAAATTCATTCCTAGTAGTTTGTAGTAGGCGTCATAAACCACCCAACCGTGAACAGCTTTGAAATCTCCTCCTCATCTCGTCTGTTGTCTCGTGAATACTTCATCATACTCTTTTTTAAAGCTTCTCGAATCCTAACACCAAAACATACAAAATACTAAAACTTCAGAAAATGCATTCACGGACACTCGCCTATTCTCTTCTGCTCATCGCCATCGCACTTTGTGCCGTTTCCGTCGCTTACGCACCGAGAGTCAGTTTTCCTTTCTTGTGCATAATTTCAACGGTGTTTGGTGTATTGTTGTTAGAAAACTTTGAGAAAAACGACGTCATCTAGGTTTCTGATTTCAGAATATCCGTGGAGTTGGCGACGTACCTTCAATGTTCTTCTCCCCATTCCGAATGATGGGAAAACGAAATCAATTTTATGGGCTATTCAAGTAAGTTCACTATAAGACTTCCATTTTGATCGGTCGAGAACCGACGACCGACGACCGACCAAATGGAAGTCTTAGTTCATTAAAAGAGTAACGCATTATATTGAATCATGTGCAGAAAAATTTCAGAAAGATCCGGAGCAATGAAGTAGTCGACTACTGACCACACCCCTATTCTTCACTCATTGCTCATCTTCTTTTTTTTTCTTGACACCCAAATAAACAATGAACCCTGTTTCTTTTCTTACCATTTGTGCATTCATCAAGTTCGCAATGCTCGCAGTGGCTCCGAAAGACGTCACACGGGTCATCACAACATACGATTGAAGTGCGTATTCGTCGCCGCAACGGAAAACGACCTAAAATGATATTTGGATGATGATGACACTTGAGAATCTTGTCGGAACCTTTTCAAAGTACGTAGACAGAGCGGTCAAGTTTTTTGGAGTGGCTTCAGAGTTCGTTCCCTCGTCTGAAATCAAAATAGGTTTTGATAAAGAAATTAAGGATCTAGTAGAATGTTTAGAACTGATAAGCTAATAGCAGGGATGCTCGGAACGAAATTCCGAAAATTCCTAATTTTCGGACTACGGTATCTCGAGTTTTCAAAATCTGTTCCTGGAATTTTCACCAATTTTTTGCGACTTTGTGATGGGGAAGTGAGATTTCCACTTCGAAATGTGAATGTTGAAAAGTTCCAATGATACCAAAACTTTCAAAATCGGAATTTGCGACTGCTTTGAGCTCTTACCGTATTCAATATGGATTTTCAACGTCATCGCCTCTGGACACAGATAGATTTTATAGTAAACCATTGCTGTTGCATTCGTTCCATCCCCATTCAACTGTGTTGCTTTGAATCTGACATAGTCTGGCTTCGCATCTACTACAGTCACATATCCACTGAACAAGTTATTGGCTGGACCCTGCTGTGCTCTTGGAGACATTCTTTCCAGCGTCAGGAGGGCTCTTTGTAGGTAGGATATTGAGTAGAGGTATTCATCTAATGGGCATGTTACGTGACCATCTGAAAATAATTAATTAGGTTCACAGGAAGAAGAAGCAAGAAAAACAAACCAATTTCTTGGAAGTCACAAGCTTTAATGATGGTGTCATGAGTCATTAGAATCGGCAGCGATGTTATTTTCATCCGTGGATCGTCCTCATGTGGCACATCGACTGCATCCATGAATTGCTCTGGTTTCCACATCGTCGGACCAGCGTTGATTTTGTTATCCGATTCTGGGATCTCTAGTTCTTCACACATGATTTCAGTGGTTACTGGGTCAATGTTGGAAAACAACTGATAGAGTCCAGCACATCTCGCACGGTATCGTGACACATCTCGAACCGCCACTTTCTGTCCTTCGAGCATTTTGATCTCCAGAATCACATTTCCTCGCATCAATCGTAACGTGGTGAGGTCGAGAACAGCCAGGTGGTATTTCAAACGATACGGGAAGAAGACTTCAGGTCCTATCAACTGGGATAACGACTTCTGTGACTGAAATCGAATTCGTCCAAATTTTCCGATGACCATGAATGGTCGAATCGTTTCGCATAGATAGTGCATAATGTAGATGAGATCGTTGTTCTTTTTGAGCTCATCTCTCAACAACTGCGACATCATTGCATGTGGATTGTACCGCGGCTTCTTTAACCAATCGACTTCAGGTGTATTGAACTGACTATGTGGCATGGTCTGCCCAAAGTTCATCAGGAAATAGTCTTCTTGAGATCCAGGATTCTGAGATTTGACGTTGAAAGCAAGGACCATGAGCATATCTCGATTCTCTCCATAGGACACGACAAGTTTGTGGAATGTGTACACTTCGACCTAAAATCGTTATTTTTGTAATTTAAAATATACCGTATTTCCTCTAATAGAAAATTTCCCAGAAAGATATCAAAATGTTGCCAACTGATAAAATATTTATCATAATATCACCCATATTTTATCAGTTGACATAGTTTTTATATCTCTCAAACGAATCAAGATATTTGAGCTCAAAGTCGACAGTTAGGGTAGGCTTCTATCAGAGGGAATACTGATAACCTACATTACACCACTGCTTGAAATACTGCTCATAGGCCAGCGAAAACTGATGAACCACTTTGTACATGTAAAGATATCGCATGAGTCGATGAATGATTCCTTCGACCAGCTTCTCTGGAGTCATCTGATTGACTTGGCTGATCTCCTGCACCCATGTTGTATCCTGAAATGGGAAATCGGTGTGTGAGAGCAAGCAGGACGCTATCCCGATTCTTCAGAAAGAAGATCATAGGATATTCGAAGGACGCAATGTGTGTTTTTGTGATAATTTTTGGGGGATGTAAGATGTGATTTTTGTGAGAGAGAGAGAAAAGAGACAGAAGAGAGAAGATTGTTCTTTCTGGGGGAGGAGCCCAACCGGGGAAGGGGAATAAAATCAGACAAAGACCGCTGGAACTGATTCCCATAAATAAAACAATAATTAGGAAGCTGTTGAGACATTCGGACAATTAACAGGTTAATGGTGACGTATACATGCGAGGGAAATGAGAATAACATTAACCTGGATATGCACATTCACACTTAAAACTAACCTTTCGAATATGAGCATTCTGAAATCAGAGAAATAATGTTTGAATAGATGAAATAATAAATATGTCGCAAACTAGACAATGCAACCGAAAATCAAAAGAGAAACATTCTTTGTCTACTCTGAACGACAACAGTACGACACCGAGACTCGGGCGCAATAGGGACATAAGTATTTGTCTTTTCTTGTATTTGTAATGAAAAAAACGAACCTTGTCACCCTCACGACGATGAGCGAGCCCGTGAGGCACATCTCGAACCAATGGAATATTTTCAAAGCACATTTCAAATTGGAACGTGTGACGAGTCCGGTTATCAAGACGAAGACAGCTTCGAACACAGCATTTGAAGAATTCAGCAGCGTCAAATGGAACCACAGTTTTGACACTGAAAAATTAAAAAATCTTCAGTTTTGTTTTTAATTTTTGGCTCACTTTGTAATATGCAACGCCAGCCCTCCTGGAACATGAGCATCATCTCTCCTTAGCTCAACCCCAACTCCCTTCTTTTGCAATTCAGTAGCAAGGTACATATAGGTTATACGATCTTCTACAGTAATAATTGCGAAAGCCAGCCTCTGTTCTCTTGAACACTCTTCTAGTAGTGAAATTCTATCATCACAATTTTTGAATCTCATCGTTCCTTGTTCAACGGCATCGGCGACTGCTGTTTGGAACACTTCTGTATCATTATCCAGAGGAATGAACTGGGCTCTTTCATCATCACACTCCAAAAGTTGCAGTTTTGTGGTGACAACATCCTCTCCTTCAGGAATGAATCCAACGATTAGATAGTAGTTTTCAGATCGAGTATATTGAAGAATTATTCTTTGTTTCGGCGCCTCTCTCAACATAACCTTTACGAATGGTAGCAGCTCAGTTTCCTTTATTTCTCGAACTGGAAGCGCTGCCACTGATCGTCTATATCTTTCTATCACAAGAGAAGTTCGCAACTTTTGCAAATAGTCTCTGATCGTCTGTCCTGAACAACGACTACTGTAGAGAGCTTTTGCAAATGCAACAAGGTCGTCATTTTCGCTATCTGGAAACCAGAATTATATAGAGTTAACTACAAGAAAAACTTACTAAGCACATTGATGTTGCAAATAACTTTTCCACAGAAAGAATTCACCGATACGGTCAACATTTCTTCGTTGGATGAAGTATCTGGCAGGAGAGATAGAGAAAGTGTTGGAACGTTTGAACCAGTCATTCTAACTTCCAACAGTGGCTCTGCTGCTTCCAGTATCCTTCGCAGCCTCATCAGACGTTCACTACATCTCACAGCAAATGTTTCTGAGAGCATTCTATCCATTGACAACATTCCAGATGCACAATCAATCGTTCCGAGTCGAGGTGCATGTGGGAAGTGTCGAACTTTCAATCCACCCAATTTGTCATCTTTATCTTCGTAGATTTGAACTCTGTACTGTGCATCGATCTTCACTTGTCCAACTGTCAATCTCTTATTTTTCGACCGTTTGACCCAGTAGCCAACCACCAGCATCCGTTCTTTAGGATCGTACTTTTCGATAACAATGTTTTCCCGTAACCGTCCGGCAGCCATTCGTGAAGTTTGGCAGTAAAGAACATCCAACTGAAGAGAAACACAGAAACTATGCAAATTGAAAAACGCTTCTTTGACTGGATTCACAGCTACATCCATTCGAGACTGTAGCACTCCATGAATTTGGTTGAGTTGGAGATTGTGAACGAGTGGAAGACCCATTCCAAGCTCATAGTCTTCTACGAGGATTTTGATATTCAATAGTGACCATTTGGTCATTTCAGTCTCTCCGAGTAGTGTGATTTTGATTTCGAATTCTCCTGGAACTAGTAGTGTGGCGATGCCATTAGCCACATGAATTTCCTTGTAGTTCGGTGGGATTCCACTGGACAGCCGAGACAATCGCGTTTCAATCAACTGATTCAGTCGAGCACACACCTGTTTCTGCTCTCTAGGTGTGATTTTTGCTGGTGGAATAAAGGCTTCTTTGATTTTTGAAGGCATGCGATTATATGTTCCAAGTACGAGAACATCTATAGCTGGTGCAATGTGATATTCTGGAAGACGAGCCAGCTCCAGATCGCCACGCGTCATTGCTACTAATCGGTCAGCTGTGTCGATGAAATACTGAGATTGAAGGTCCAGAAGATAGTCGATTGACTGGAAAATTCGTTTTTCAAAATATTTTATATGAGAAAATTTAAAACCCACATAACAGACATCCATTCGTTTTGAAACTCGTATCCATTTGACTAGAGCTACTAGTTTTAAAAACTGACTTCTAGTGGCATGAGCGAAATGCACAAGTGACATTTTCCTTTCTTGTTCTCCTTGATCATTTGTCTTTCGTTGCATCAATTCAGCAAGAACCGTGATTTCGTGATATACATGTTGGATGGAAAAGTCGAGTAGAACATTAAGGGGAATTGTTGGAGGGCCGCAGCCTGGTGGAACGTCTGGTAGTGGGTTTTTTGCTTCTACTCCTGAAACAAAGACTTGAAAAAGTGGAATTGTTTTCTTATTTACCATCATCTTCTTCTGAATCTGATGAGTTTTTTGCTTGATCCTCAGGCTTTCTGTTCGAAAAATTATCCTGCTCTGCTGATGAAAAACCTTCATGATCTGAGATTCCTGATGATTCGTCCAATGAGAGAACAGAACCTGTTGGATCGAGAGAAGACCGTGCCGCCATTGCAGGCGAGTCTGCTGCCAGAGCTCCTCGCAATTGGGACGACAGTTTCTCTGAAACTTATTTTTGAATTTCGAAAATTGTCTAGAATTCGAGGACAACTCGAAGATAAAATAAAAACCGCGTTTAAGGTTGCAGCTGTTATAAAAAAATATGACCAGAAATCAATGAAGAACTTTTATGGCTTTGAATCTGCCCAAAACAAAATACAAAAAAATCTAGTGACATCTTTATTGGGATATTATTCATTCAGGTATGCTAGAAATTATTATGTTTTTTGTCATTTGAAGACAATTCTTCAGATTATAAGGGATTGTGTAATATGGCGTCATAGTGTATATGCGGATAATGCGTGCTATCTCACGACATTGAAAAGTGGCGCCAATTTGGAAATTGAAATTGTGTCTTGTTCCTACTGGATTTTTCTCTATTTTTACTGCAATTTTGATACAAACTTGCGTGAAACGTTGTAAAAGCTTTTAAATATAGGTTGTTAAGTAACAAAACTCACTTTTCAGCTAATCGCGCTTCAACTCAGACTGCAAAAGCATAAACCAATGATGGACATTTCTGTATCTTCTCGGGAAGAAGAAGGTCCCCGAGATGAGATTATTAACTCAATGTTGAACAGTGCCCGTAGTGCAATGAAGCTAGGCATGTTCGAGGAGGCCATGGGACGGCTCGAGGAAATCCTCGAATGCGGAACAACCGATATTCAATTACTCGGCAGAATCTACATGTACTACGGAAGAGTACTCAGATATTTGAAGCATGAAACTAAGGCTCTTGAGTTTTTTGAACACGAGCTCAATGTGCTAAAGTAACTACACATCGTCCTAGGTTGTATCTCAATTCGATAATTGCAGACTGACCTTCATTTATCCAAAAGCGTGCGACTCCTCGCGGCGAATCGTTGAACTTGCACTCTCGATGGGAAAAATTTCAAAAGCCAAGCGATGTGCAGAAGATCTCATTGACTACACCAGCAATCGAAAAGAAGGAGAAACATTCGTCAGAATCGCAAGAACTCTTCTCGTGACAGTTTGCTTGGAAGGTTATGAACGAAAATTGGAAGGCAATCCCGAGGAGAACAAACGACTTCTCACTATTAGTGCCGAACAGATTTCCAAAATCAAACAGATAAATGAAGAGCACCCCGATAATATTTCCAAAGTCGAAATTTTAATGCTTGAGGCGAAGTGCCTTGCTTTGCAAGAAAAACAGAGAGAATCCCATCAAACGTATCAGGACTGTATTGATTTGTGTATCAAAACCGATCAACTAGCAAACGTTCACCGAGCCTACTACGAAATGGCTCTCTATGCTGAAGGAAATATGCTCATTTTCATCGTCAACAATCTGAGGTGAGCATTGTGATAATAGTATTGCTTGTATAATAAAATATTGCTCTTCAGAAGTGCGTCATATTATGTGTCGAAATATGGAACGACGCGAGAAGTAGCCAAGTACAAACGGGAGTTAGCTGATAAACTGTTGGCGTTCGGAAACCCCCACGAGGCGTACTGCAACGCTATGGAGGCGTTGGAACTGATTCGCCAACAAAACTTGAATGAATACCTCAAAGACACTCTTTTACTCGTTGCAAAATGTCTGGCCGCGCTTGGAAGGAGACAACAATCGGCTTACTTTATCGTTCTCGGAAGTGTTCTCACTATCAAACAGGATTGCTTCGAAAAGTTTTATAAGCTCATTGACGAAGTGATGACAGCCGAGAGAAATGATACAGAAGAAGGAAAAGATGTGAGCCTAGCTTTAGATGCATCCGCGGATCCGGTTGCGCCGAATGAGGTCGTGACAAAGGTTGTTGTCAAACTCGAACATGCTACGAATGTGGAGACATGGCGAATGGTAGTCAACGGCATAATTGAAGATCAGAAGCGTCCCGCACCGGTGGTAGAGGAAACTCCGAAGGAGAACGAAGAGCCAATGGATTTCATGGATCTGATCTGCAAGATGAATTCGCGAATGGACGATCAGAGAACTGCAATGCCAGCGTCAATCTTCGCAGCACGTATGCAAGAGACTACAGTTAGGGAATCGATCTAAATCTCTATGTTTTCAGCACGACCCATATCTGCCGCTTCCAAAAAGACCACGAAAAGCCACCGAATCCTCCCTGGCTTCCGTGCGAACATAGCCAAAATACAGAATATGAAGTTCGACGGCCAAACAGTCAATAAGCTTTTGAAGCGGTCGAAGAAAAGCAAAACGTCGCTGCACTCAACCTCGACGCAAGGCGATGATACTCGAAGTGATACTGATGCCACGGTGCTGTCCAAATAAGAACATACAACGACGTTCCCATATGAAGCTGTTAATTCTCTGTCTGTCTGTCAAATATTTTAAAAGAAAAATTCTTCTACATTATCGTGCCAAGTAAACATTTTGAATTTATTATAGAATCTTTGATTTGACCAAAGTTAAACGATCCCTCCCATTCTGTATTTCATTTTCAGCTCAATTTTCAGGTCATAAGTTGCTTGTTATTCTTCATTTTTTAAATAGTTGTCTTCATGTTACACAGTTACCCACGTGTGACTCTCCAACGTCATTCAAAAGGGGCTCCCGTGCGAATGACCTCGGAATCCTGGGGACGAAACCGAAAAATGCAGAGACGCAGAGGAGACAGCCAGCGTCCAGGAGAAGGAGCGCCACCCTTCCGGTCCCGCGTCTCAGTTTTTTCTCTGCAATCCGCTTTCGTTGTTGTCTTCATATCTTATTTTTGCTGTCTTGATAGACTTGAGGTTATTTACAGAAAGTTATGACAAGAAAATGTGTTGGTCAGAACATTTAATGACCGCGAGCAGTAGATCGAATCTTTTTTTTTGTGTAAAGGCGACAAAAGCTGTATCAAGTTACCATTTTTCCCCAAAGTTTTCTCCCTTTTGTATTCCTTTCTTTTCTTCGGTTTCGTAGCTTACAATTTCACATATAAATTCTTCACTATAAAAAATGATGATAGGAAACGCGGAAAGTTTTTAGTATTGCCAGTTCCCATCTCATTTGGTCACTTTTAGTGTTGACCGTCTTATCAGTTGTGAATTGTACGAAATTTTTCGGAGTATCGGAGAAGTGTACTAATCGGTAAGATTAGGAGGGCATCTGTTTTTGAGCATTAACGACCCAAAACACGTGATCATCTGAAAACTGAAACGTATAATTTGGCGGCGGGCGTTTGAGCCTAAACGCGTTTTTGATGTGGTCTCCTATTTCTACCCACTCAATTGACATTTTCTTATTATGCTCACTGACCAAAACTGGTTGGGTACTTAAGCTCTAACTTGTTACTGCATTCTCTAATTAAAATCATCACTTCTCATACCAGCTTCATCATATTGCATCACATTTGCGCGGCGGCTCTGGATGGAGTCTTCACAAAAATGCAATGCTCCCTCCCCCATTTTCTCCTCTGTCTCATACACCGCTTTTCCTTTTTCCTATTTTTGTTCTTCTTATTTTGTTTTTTCCTAACCATAGGAAGCAGTCATCTCGAACCAACGTCATCTCTACTCCTTCTCGCCCCGCCCATCTCTCATTCTTCTTCTTCGGGTTCTGTTTTGTATAAACCGATTTTCAATTATCGTTGAGAGCCCTTGACTTTCGTCTTTTCGCATTTGACCACTTTCCCCCTGTCGGCTATACATCATTCAATTTTACCGCATTTCTTATCATGCTCTCTGAGTTTTCTAGTTCTGTTATCATTCCTTCTACTTCCAGGCCGTCAGCCCCCCGAACGATAGAGGGCAGCTCAAGGAGAACAAATAATTATGGACGCCCCGGCTACCAAACCTCGTAAGTACACAGTGGGAGTGTGAGTCTCTAGGGAAATTACGCAGAAATCGAGTGAAGGTCGAAAATTTTTTCTTTTTTTCTGTGTGGACGTCCCATAATGATAGTTTGATCGGAAGTTTGCAGAAGGTGATTAATGAGACGATCCAAAAGTGTAACAGAAAGGTGGGGGAGAGATATGATGAAGAAAAAAGTGCATTGAAAAAGTGAAAGGAGATAAAGTGATAACCTCGTTTTGCAGGGCTTGTGCCATCGACACGATTCGCGTTGTCACTGGTCATGTTCTTCGGATGTCTCTTCACTTATATGATGCGGACGAACATGTCGTTCGCAGTCGTCTGCATGGTATCGGAGAACAAAACAGACACTGGGGCAGAGAAGGTTTCTCGATGTGGAAAAGAAATGACACCAGTAGACGCGAACAGCTCCTCGGTATGGTATGGGCTCAAATAATTAGGGGGAAAACAGAAAATAGAAAATTCACAAACACGTGTTTAGGTGATCGGAGAATTCGACTGGGATAAACAAACGACTGGAATGGTATTATCTTCCTTCTTCTACGGTTACATCGGAAGTCAGATCATCGGAGGACACTTGGCATCTCGTTATGGAGGAAAACGTGTCGTATTCATTACCGTTCTAGGATCTGCTCTTCTCACTCTTTTCAATCCAGTCGCCGCTAGATCATCGGAATATGCACTGGCTATCTTGCGTGCAGCCATTGGATTTCTTCAAGGAGCCACGTTCCCAGCGATGCATACCATGTGGTCTGTATGGGGTCCACCACTGGAATTATCTGTGCTCACCGGAGTTACTTATGCTGGCGCACAAATCGGAAACGTCATTGTTCTGCCACTTTCTGGATTCCTCTGCCAGTACGGATTTGATGGTGGATGGCCATCCATCTTCTACATCATCGGTGTCGCTGGAGTCCTCTGGTGTGGTGTTTGGTGGTACATCAGTTCTGATAAACCAGCCAATCATCCACGTATCTCCCAAAAAGAGAAACAATACATCGTCACTGCAGTAGAAGCTTCAATGGGAAAAGACACTGGAAAAGTTCCATCAACGCCTTGGATCAAGATTCTCACATCACCAGCTGTTTGGGCATGCTGGATTGGACATTTCGCTGGAGACTGGGGTGCATACACAATGCTTGTCTCTCTTCCATCCTTCCTTAAAGACGTTCTCGGTTTGAATCTCTCTTCGGTGAGTTTTATTGGTATAAGTACTAGTGAAAGAAACCATTTGTTTCAGCTAGGAGCTGTTGCCTCAATCCCGTATATCGCATATTTCTTCGCTATCAACGCTGGTGGAATTCTTGCTGATACCATTCGTGCCAAAGGTCTTCTCTCCACATTGAACACCAGAAGAGCGGCTATGCTTGTGGCACTGATCGGTCAAGGATTGTTCCTCGTGGCGTCTGGATACTGCGGATGTGGACAGGATGTGGGTTCTAGGAAGAAAATGTTTTCGAAAATTCTTATTTTCAGGTTCTTGTTATTATTTTCATCACTTGTGGTATGGCTATTTCTGGATTCCAATACGCTGGATTCGTTGTCAACTACCTGGAAATCGCCCCACCATTCTCTGGAACTGTCATGGGAACGGGAAACACAATTTCGGCACTTGCGGGAATTATCTCACCAGCCGTCACTAGTTACCTCACACCAAACGGAACACAAGAAGAATGGCAAGTGGTTCTGTGGCTGACTGCTGGAATCTTAGCCACCGGAGCGATTCTCTTCTCCATTTTCGCTTCTGGAGACGTTCAACCATGGGCTAAGCTCACTGCTGAAGAAGGGCACGAAATGGCTCCACTGCGAGAGGGAGAGAAAATCGAACTGGCAACTGCCTAATAATCTGTTTTATCTGTGTCATCTGTTTTATTTAGGCTCATGTTCTATTCGTTTGCATCTGTTTTTAAACCCCCTCTTTCTGTTTTGAACACCAAAATCGAGCTTTATTCTCTAGCGTTTTCATTTTTCCACCCTCCCTCCAAAGATTTCACTTGTGCAGCTTCATCAATCAGTATTTATTCTCATTCAATAGTTTTATTCTCATCCAAAAGTTTATTCTCATTCAAAAGTTTATCAAATTCAGAAGTTTCTCAAATACAGATACAAATACATACAAATTCAAATTTCATAAGAATCAAAAATAAACACGTTCAAATATCAGATCGTTTGTTCATTCACTTTTCATGGCAGCTCAGAAGGTGAACTTTCGAGTATTTTTTTGAGTTTTTCTCAGGCATCACGCAGTCTGAAATTGGGAAAGATGTGTTAGAAATCAAAGCTGTAATTGTTACCTTGAGAAGAGTTTTCCTTGATTTTCTTATCTAAACAGGAAGAATTTACTCTTCCCTTCTGAAGTGAAATTGCCATACTTCGCATTTTATCAGGGAACAATTGGGAATATTCGTATTGCTCTTTCTTGCAATCGATAACTGGAATCCATCGGAATACGTAACGGAATCCGATTCGGAATCTGAAATAACATACAGATTCAGAATGTTCTCAACGTCTTCTATTTACCGTTCATTGGCAAAACAGTAGATAATTGGGTTGTAAGCACAACTGGACATTGCAATCCAGTATATCAACAAATACGCATATTTTCCATGGGCGGCATCGAAGAATTCTTCGAGAGCGAACGCGTGATAAATGTGATATGGAAGCCAGCAGACGACAAATGCAACCACCATCAGGAATAGCATTTTGACAGCCTGAAAAGTAAAAAATTCTTGTTTTTCGACCGCATGTACCGTAATTCATGAAACCGTCCAATTTAAGCTCAATTATCTCGGTTCCTACAGAAGATATTCACACTTTGTAAATTAATAAAATATTGGTGATATTATAATGAACATTTTGTCAGTTAACAAAATTTTGATACCTTTTACTGGAAATGAGGTTAATCGGGTCAAAGTGAGGTCCTTCCTGACACAGACCGAGTTTGCGACCGAAAAGTTGCCCAACATTAAAGGGATTTATCTCACTTCTCGTAAAAGATTTCAAAAAGTAATCAATTAACAAAATATTGGTTATATTATGATAAACATTTTCTTAGTTGACAAATTGTTGATATCTTTTACAGAAACCGAGATAATTGAGCTCAAATTTGAAGGTTTGGGTAAGCTTGTATTCGAGAAAATACGGTATGTTTTAATATGGTCTTTTTGTAGTTTGGTGTGAAGAAAGTTGAAAAAACAAACAGAACACAGAATTCTATTATAGAATTTCTAAAAAATAACGAGAAGCACATGGAAAGTTGTACGTTTTTTTCGTGAAATTAGATCATAATGAATGGGATGTGAGTTTTCAGAAAACTTCGAATAGCTAATAGATTTATTCTATTTCAAGGAAACTGAAATTTGAACATTTATAGACTCAGTTTTAATAGATCTGAATGGAAGAAGGTTCGAGAAATTCGGAATTCTAGAAATATGTTTTGTAGGCTACAGTGGTTGGAACTACCGTATTTCCATTAATAGAAGCCTACCCAAACCTTCAACTTTGAGCTCAATTATCTCGGGTACTGTCAGAGGTATCAAAAAGTTGTCAACTGATAAAACGTTTATCTTATTATCACCAATATTTTATTTGTGACAAAACTTTGATACCTTTTACAGGGACCGAAATAAATGTGCTCAAAGTTGACGGTATGAATGGGCTTCGTCTATTAGATGAAACACGGTATGTTGTGTAAGCTACAGTATCTGGAACTTTGCTTTTTTAAGTCCTCTGAATTTGAACATGTGCTGATTGAATTCAGAATCTCTTTGTTGAATTGGTCGCTTACTTTGCTCTTTGCTCTTGTATGATTATTTTTCAAACTACTATCCGTCGCTTCATTTGTTGCCCGAAATGCGACTGCGATTCTCGTGAATGTCGATCCCAGTATTATAATTGGTAGTGCGTATTGAATGCCAAACAACACTTTTTCAAAGCTGAAACAAACAATATTTTTCCTTATTTTCTCCCTGAATTCCTACAAAGTGTTGACAGGTGCCGAGCAAACATGTGTCTTCGAAACAGTGGAAGTGACGACATCATACGTATAAAATGAGTTGACCTAAAAAGATGGATGAGTTTTCTGTAGATAAATAAATGAAACTCACAGATGCAGCAATAGCAAAAGGAAGTGCAGTGACCGTTGAAACAACCCAAATGACAAGGATAGCAATGACTGATCTTTTTCGAGAGAGTGGACGTTTTTGGAGAGGATTCACAACTGCTTGACATCTAAAAAAGAAAATATCTAGTTGACTTTTGTGCTTTTGCACTTCATTACCTATCCCAACTGAGAGCCATCATTGAACAAACCGAGACCGTTGTTGGAGCAATTCCAAAGAATGATGTCAGAGTGCAAAGATCTCCATACCACCAATCATAGTACAAGTTGTATGTCCAGGAAGTTCCGACGTTGAAAAGAGCAATTAGGAGATCAGCGAAAGCCATGTTGAAAAGGAAATAGTTGAAGCCATAATGCATTACTTTGTGCTTATAAATGATCCACATCACAACCGAATTTCCGATTATCGCAGTGGCCATGAGAAGGACAAAGGCAATTGCGACGAACACTTGGGTGGCTCTGGAAGATTTTTTTTTCAGAAATTTGCCAATTACGGTAGTGGCCGCGGATTTTCTCTTCCACACTTTTGATTTTTTCATACCAGCATCATCATACTTCAAAGATCTCTTGGTTTACTTTCTGTCTAGTACACATAAACTCAAATTATAAATTCTCAAGACATTGAAGTTTTACATGTCTCTTCAAATGGATTAATAAATTCCAACATCATTTTAAGTGAAGAAAATATTTTTTATCAAAAAATTGTGCAAAGAGAATTGGACCATTTTGTATGTGTGAAAAAGTACTTCTTGTTGATCGTTTTGCAAAACCGTGAATCCTGTAATAGAAGCCCCCCCCCCCCCCCCCGCCTCTAGCTTTCAACTTCGAGCCAGTTTATCTCGATTCCTGTGAGAGATATAAAAAATTTGTCAACTGATAAAATGTTTATCATAATATCACCAATATTTTATCAGTTCATCACTTGTCGATATCTTCTGAAGGAATCGAGATAACTGAGCTCAAAATTAAAAGTTAGGAGCCATTCTTTCACAGGTTTTATGTATATCTAACGTCTGAAGCTTTCATTTAGTCTCAAATTACTGCCAAATATTTCTGAGAATCTTCTTTCCATTCAAGTTTTCTAAACTTACAATCCTTCTTTGGAGCTGGGCGCACAGAAGAAAATGCCATTGAGTTCCGGTGGAAGTGTCAGATTTTCAGCGTTCTTACACGCTCGTTCACCCAGTTGAATTAGAAGGTCTTGATCCATTTTTTTGGCTGAAAATTGGATTTATATTCTGAATAGCAGAGAAATGTGTAAAAAAAAAATAGAGACCAATGGTATACGGACGAAACAGGAAATTAGGTTGAGGGAGAAATAAAAGGAAATAAAGGGGAATCAAAATATATAATCCTGTTATTAACGTCCAAAAAGATTCAAAGGACTAAAAAGAATCAAAGCTCAAAAATATCTGCAGGTTCTCGGTTGGCACACCGTGTCCGGAATAAATAAAAAGCGAGAGGATCCTTTGGATTTTTGGTGTCTGTTTCAGAAAAGGAAGAGTAGAATTTTCTCTTTTTTCGCATTCAGGTTGGTGTGAGACAATTAATTCAAAAAGTTGGGAGAGCGAATTACGAATTCTGTGTGTTCTTCACCAGAAGGAATACCAAGAAGACGTCCGGAAGAAGAATCAGAGTGACTTTTCTTTCAGATGAAAGGAAATTGGGAGAGAAAAAATAACCAAAACAATGGTGATTAATGGGGAGAAAATAAAAAAACAGTGAGGCTGAAATTGGGAGAAAAAATAATTTTAAATTTCAACCAAATTCTAGGAATTTGAAAAGTGTTATTTCTGGAAAATCAGAAGGAATTCTAAATTCAATTTTGTAAGTCCAGACAGCAAAGATCCGACTTTCCTAAAAACCGTAAAACCTGTAATAGAAGAGCTGCTAACTTTGAGTCAACTGATAAATTGTTTATCATAATATCAGAAACAATTTATCAACTTTCTACTTTTTCATATCTTTGACATGAAACGAGAAAAATTGGCTCAAAATTAGGACAACAAGAAACTTGAGCACAAAACTTCCATAGCTTTGTATAGCATAAACAAATCTTTGAGATAGAATTCTAAGAAACTTCTAGAAGCAAATATACTTTTTGATAAATACCAAGTTCTATGTAATTATGCAGCGTCTAGCAACCTATGATTTGATTTTGATAATATGATATTTTTGAATTTTCCACTTGATACACGGAAAATGTTCCAGGATTCATTTGCATCGAAAAAAGGGGAAGTTGAAACATTGTGACATCATGCCAAAATTCACCCAATTCTTTAGGTCCCTCTCTCTCTCTCTCAAAAAAAGAAGAAGGATCTTCCTCATTTTTCAGGTCAAAAGGATACACGAAGTAGAAATTATACTTCCCCTCAATCTTTAACCTAAAATGGAAAAATGAGAAACCTTTTCTTTTCTGAAAATGATCAGATTTCCGGTCGAGACAGAGTTACCCGGATAGGAAAAGAAGGAGGAGGAAGAAAGTTTCTTTTTCTGTTTCCTCATTTGGTTTATTTCCGTATCAAAACACAAGATGAGGCTAGAAACAATCTTAGAAATTCTAAGAAGAAGAAAAAAGAGCCAAATTGGAACATGGAACACAGGTGGATAAGAGTGACAAGAGAAAATGAGATTTTGGAGTTCGGAAAAAGGCAAAAAATAGAGAAAATTTTTTTCGGAGAAATAAACGGATCATTAATCTAATTTGTTTTGAAAAAGTAACCTAGGAAAACAACGATTTTTCATCTTTTAAAGTTCTAAGTTTCAAAGTTTCAGACACTATAAATGCGAAAGATTTTGGAGCTTTTAGTGTCAAAAGAAGTGCAATGTTCGAACTAGCATAACACTTGATTAAAAATTTGGAGTGCGAAAATTCAAATAATTCATCAGCAACATGGCCGAATTTCACACTATTTGAACAATTTCGAGCTGAGTTATCGCTGGTCAAAGTTGCTTCATCTCATGAAAATCACAACGTTAATCTTTGGACAGCCATAACAATACCTAGACTTGAGGAATCGCTTTGAAAATTTCAGAAGCTTTGAATCAAACCTTAAATTATATTTCTACCAATTTTCATGGTTCCGAAAATTCTGATGCCAATAGATACACGAAGGATTACAAAGCAAACAACAGTCCAAAGAACGGCAGTAAGAAAACTTAATTTCGTATAAAAGGAGAGTTCAAAGAATAGTTCTCAATTTCTTCTACCACTTCTACCTAACAATGGATTCTCTAGAAGCCGTGTAGAGAACAGAAAAAGAATAATTCCTGACTCTTATTTTTGTCGTTTTTCTTTTTTTTGCTTCCGAGAAGTGAGGAAGCAATTCGAGATAGTATGCATAACTTAACTCAAAAAAAAACATGTGGCACCAGACGAAAAAAAAGAAGAAATTAGGTTAGACTTCTGAATTTTTGGGAAAATGAGAATTTCAGATAGATGTGATCATGATGATGATAATATGGATCGGAAATGACTGGTAGGGAAACAGGTAAAGGATGTGGCTGGCCAGAAAAAAAAAGGCAAAAAGGAAATTAGGAAAATTATAGACAAATCATCGGATTTTGATCTGGAACTGTTTTTTGGCTGGAAACGAATCAAAACAGAAAGAAAAGTCCCCGATTTTCAGAATACACACTGCCAACTTTGAGCTTAATTATCTCGATTCCTGTAAAAGGTATCAAAAATGTATCAACTAATAAAATATTTGTAAAATTATGAAGAACAATTTATCAGTTTACAATTTTTTGATATGTTTCACAGGAACTGAGAAAAATTGACTCAAAGTAGATGGTTTCGGTGGGTTTCTATTAGAGAAAATACGGTAATTTTCAAAAAAAAATACTGGTTATTTTTTTAAAATTTCAAGCTCATTTCAAACGCTTTTGGCTTTGCCCAAATTTAAAAAACATTTAGAATGCTTTCGAGATTTCGAGACATATTTTTCAGGATTTCAGCCAAGAAGACATTGATAATTCATCGAAATGTCTGCCAGAAGGAAATTTTCCGTTTTTCTTGCAAACCGAAAAAACACCGGATTAACATTTTGATGAGTTCCAAGGAGCCGGATCTTTTTTTGGGATCTTTAAAAATGTACTCAATTTCGTAGAATAAAAAATATTCTGAATATAGATATACCCATTTTAGATTCTTTTTCGCATTCATTAGAGTGCCCATATTGAATTAAAATCTTGATCTTCTTTCCTCCTTCCTGCTCTATTATGCTCCATTTAGGCTCCGCCCACTTTTCCTAGAATAGACAAGGATATTCGAGAGTCCAAACATTGAAATCTCGTGAGTGGGAAGAAGAGAGAAAAAAGAAACTTTCCAGATCAATTAATTTTCTTCTATCTCTGGAGATAACTTTTTTCATGGCCTCAGGCGGTCCAATTAGATTCACATCCGTACTTGAAATTTTATTTGGAGTAACTGAAAAACGAGAGATGTTTCAATGATATTCCCCCCCCCCCTGGCCTAGAAAGTTGGAGATTGAGCAAAAGCTAGGCCAGCTCTTGGACTTCCCAACAAAAGAGTGTGTATTTTTGAGTACGATGATTACAAAAATCGTAACTTTTGCTCGGCAAAACTTTTGGAAACTCCAGAAACTTCGATTTTAAGAATTTTGTCTGAATTCTCAGGAATCGAACTGCTTGGGAACAGAAATTGATTCCGCCCATTTGCTTCACAATCGAAATAACAAACAAAAATAATCAGCTGATTAGAAAACTTTCAAAATTAGTAAAGTTTTGAACAGGCAGTGATTGAAATAACAAATTTCTACTAAAAAAGGAACAGAACAAAAAATATGAAAAATAACGGAAAGAAATTGGAAAATTGAAACTCAAAAACAAAAGCAAAAGGGAAGAAAGTTATAAATCAAAATCTGACAGGAAAGGAAAAGGGACGGGAATGAAAAAACAATGGAAAGCGAAAACAGAATATCTGAATATTTATCCAGGAAAGGTTAATATAATTGGAGTTCTCAATATAAAGACAGTATGCGGGTGGATGTTCTAGGTTATTCTGGAAGATGTGAAAATAAAAAATTCCAATTCAAAATTTGTCAGAGTAGATTCTTTCTGGATATTTTTTAAAACTTGTAATCTTTAACTAAAATACCGTATTTGCTTTAATTGAAGCCCATCCTATGTCAATCATCTCGATTTCGGTGAAAGTTATCACAAATGTACCAACTGATAAAATGATGGTGATATTATGATAGTTATTCTATCTGTTAACAAATTTTTGACACCTTTTTACAGGAATCGGGATTAATTAGCTCAAAGTTAAACGTTGGGGGCCCTTCTATTACAGTTTTTATGGTAGCTTTTTTCCTCAAAATCAAAAATATGTATTGTGATCGAATTTTCAAAATTTTGCTGCTATCCAACCAGATCTCTGCCATCAAGCATCACAAACTGTCACAATTTTTCCCCTATATTCATCCTCTTCATGTTTTCGGTTATTAGATTTTCTTCGGCTCATCTGGATTATCTGAAAAGCCTTCTACTGACTAAGGACCCACGTTAAAAACATTGAAAACCAAGGACGCCTTCGAGATTCTGGGCGTCAGTGTTAGACGTTTGCAGATACCGTAAAACCTGTAATAGAAGAGCCCCCAGACTGTCCAATTTGAACTCAGTCATCTCAATTGCTATGAAAGATATCAAAAATGTGCCAACTGATAAAATCTTTGGGATATTATTGAGATAAAAATTTTATAAGTTGACAACTAAACATGTCAGATTAAATTCCAACACACATGTTTGACTGGAACATGCATAAGAAATTTTCGAGAACAAAAACAAAGTGATAATGTCAGAAAACTGACAGGCCCAAGAACCGAACAAAACGGAAAACAACAGTTTTTTTTGGAGATGAGATGACGTGGCATCTCATCTCAAGACAAGCCAGTTGGGACCCATGTGACAAGGAAATCCAAAAAAGGGAAATCCGGTGTCACTCAAGTTGAGAGAGAAGGATCCTAATAGTACAGAGAAGGATGTGGAGCTATAAAACTTTGGGGGAAACTACTCCGAAAAACTCATTTTTCGGATTGGATACTAAAAGAAAAAAAACTAGAGAACCCGGATGACTGATTTTGGTTTGGAAGAAAGAGAAGAGATGAGATCAGAGTGCATATTGAATATTCTTCCGATTCACTGGAAGTTATGACTCCCAGATTCCCCCCTAGATTCTATGAATCAGAG